AATTTGGGTAGACCTGCAAACCAGGATTTTCAGCAGCTGATTCATACCACTTTATATTATATCTTTTATTTCTGCCTACTGGTTTCATTTCAGATGGGGGGGGGGGGGAACCTGGATTTGTGCTGGAAATGGCCCAACTTGATTATCATACACATTGTAAGAAGAGTGATCACTTTAGATAAGCTATTACCAGCAGGAGAGTGGGGTGGGAGGAGGTATTGTTTCATGGTCTCTGTGTATATAATGTCTTCTGCAGTTTCCACAGTATGCATCCGATGAAGTGAGCTGTAGCTCACGAAAGCTCATGCTCAAATAAATTGGTTAGTCTCTAAGGTGCCACAAGTACTCCTTTTCTTTTTGCACTAGCTATGTAAACAATAAGTACTGAATGCAAAAATATCTGCTGATTTTCATTTAAACCCTAAATTTAATGTACATCACCATGACATCACGCTGTGCTATGCTGGTTCGTGCTAAAAACTGACTCACATGAGCATTACGTTATGTGATGTATTATAAATGACAGGATATAAATATTAATATGAAGTATATTGTTCATAGCACCCAAAAACCCAAGTACCAGATTTTTTGTTTTGTTTTATTTTTAAAACATTTTGCGGAACACAGTATGAGATAATTAACAGATGATGTGCTGCTGGGGGCCAAATACCAGTCCCATGTGAAGTCAGTGAGAGTTTTTCCTACTGATAGCATTTGGGCCAAGATTTATCTCAAAAAGGCTTGTCTATACAGTGATGATGATGATGGGCGATCACTCGTCACCGAGTCTGATCATCTTCCATGAGAGTTATGGTCCTCAGGTGGCTAATAAGGCCAATTCTTGAACCACAAGTTCTATTACAACGAGGGCAGATGTTTTCAGGCTCAGCAGGAGGCAGTTGACCATGACTGGGAGCCAGTCTCTCCTTCCTCCTGCGCCTCTTGTCCTTTTCAGCTTGTCGGCAAGCAAGTTCAAAATGCAGGGGACCATCACGCAGGACTTCACTCCATTTTAAGTGATCCTGGGCAAGTGTCTCCCAAGCTTCAATGTCAATATTACACTTTTTTAGGTTGTCCTTCAGCAAGTCCTTATAATGCTTCCGTAGACCACCCATTTTTATGGTACCCTTCTTTCAGCTGAGGGAAAAGGACCTGTTTTGGGAGGCGACAGTCTGGCATCTGGACAACGTGACCAGTCCAGCAGAATTGCTGAAGGATGATCATTGCCTCGATACTGGTGGTCTTTGCCTCTTCCAGAACACTAATATTGGTGTGCCTGTCTTCCCATTTGATCTTCAGAATCTTATGAAGGCAGTGTTGATGGTGCCTCTCAAGGACTTTCAAGTGGTGTCTATAGGTTGTCCAAGTTTCGGACCCATACAACAGCGCTAGGAGAATAACGTCTTGATAAACAAGAAGCTTGGTGTCCGTTTGAATGTCATGATCTTCAAAAACCCTGTGCCATAAACAAGAAAAAGCTACACTGTCACACCGCAGACGATGTTGAATTTCTGCATCAATATCTGCCTTGGATGAAAGATGACTTCCAAGGTAGAGGAAGTGATCGACATTCTCCAGTGCCAATCCATTGATTTTGATAGATGGGGCATGTAATACCTCATTTGGAGAGGGCTGATAGAGCATTTTAGTCTTCTTGATATTAAAGAGTGAAACCAAGACATGCGTAAGCATCAGCAAATACATTCAAGATCTTTCTCAGAATGGGTAAAGATGGTGTTGTCATCAGCATACTGAAGTTCCACAATAGATGTTGTGGAAATCTTACTCTTGGCTTTCAGCCTGCTAAGCCTGAACAGCTTTCCATCCATTCTGTAAATGATTTCAACGTCAACTGTAAACTTCCCAGCAATTAGGTAAAGAATGACGGCAATAAAAACCGCAAACATGGTTGGAGCGATGATAGAGCCCTGTTTGACTCCTGTTTGTACTTTGAAAGGTTCACTCTGGGAACCTGTGCTGCTCAGAACACAAACCTTTGCCTCATAGATGTTGAGGTATTGGTTCTATGGCTCCTAACTTAAGGAGCCGATCTATTTCTCGTCACAGTAAACTCTCGTGAGAAGCGTCCCAGAAGAGGAACAGGGAAGGTACTGTGGACAGGGGAGGGATGTAAAGCAGACAGAATATCCTTTGTGAACAATTTCCAAAACCCATTGGTCTGATGTTATGCATTCCCAGGTGCTGCAGATCATGGCAAGACAGTAGCCAAATGGGATAGGAGACACTGGTCAGCTGTAGCGTTTGAGAGATGTCTGTTGACACCTCAATCAACACATCACAATTGGTCTTCGGAGGTGGAGGTTTGCAACATGGAAGGCTGTGGACCTGATGATTTACACCTGGGGAACCCAGATTTCTCTCTCCGAGGCTCATAAAAGTGCTGAGTCAGGTATTGAGAGATGCGTGATTTGTGTTGGGGCTGCAGACTAAATTTCTCTTTTGTCCAGATGTGTTCATCACTAATGAGCAGAGAGTGGCCCTGGAATCTTCAAGGGTGTGAAGAGAGGCATCCATCTTCTCTGCAAAGTGCTTAGTGCCTTCAAAGGGAAGGTCTTCGACAGTTGACTGCACCTCTTTAGGGAAGCCCGAAAGGTGTAACCACAATACATGTCACATAACCATCACCGTGGAAACGGACCGAGCTGTTGTGTCGGCTGCATAGAGGGCAGACTGTAGCACTGTTTTGGCTACTAGCTGTCCTTAGAATCATAGAATCATAGAATATCAGGGTTGGAAGGGACCCCAGAAGGTCATCTAGTCCAACCCCCTGCTCGAAGCAGGACCAATTCCCAGTTAAATCATCCCAGCCAGGGCTTTGTCAAGCCTGACCTTAAAAACTTCTAAGGAAGGAGATTCTACCACCTCCCTAGGTAACGCATTCCAGTGTTTCACCACCCTCTTAGTGAAAAAGTTTTTCCTAATATCCAATCTAAACCTCCCCCACTGCAGCTTGAGACCATTACTCCTCGTTCTGTCATCTGATACCATTGAGAACAGTCTAGAGCCATCCTCTTTGGAACCCCCTTTCAGGTAGTTGAAAGCAGCTATCAAATCCCCCCTCATTCTTCTCTTCTGCAGGCTAAACAATCCCAGCTCCCTCAGCCTCTCCTCATAACTCATGTGTTCCAGACCCCTAATCATTTTTGTTGCCCTTCGCTGGACTCTCTCCAATTTATCCACATCCTTCTTGAAGTGTGGGGCCCAAAACTGGACACAGTACTCCAGATGAGGCCTCACCAATGTCGAATAGAGGGGAACGATCACGTCCCTCGATCTGCTCGCTATGCCCCTACTTATACATCCCAAAATCCCATTGGCCTTCTTGGCAACAAGGGCACACTGCTGACTCATATCCAGCTTCTCGTCCACTGTCACCCCTAGGTCCTTTTCCGCAGAACTGCTGCCTAGCCATTCGGTCCCTAGTCTGTAGCTGTGCATTGGGTTCTTCTGTCCTAAGTGCAGGACCCTGCACTTATCCTTATTGAACCTCATCAGATTTCTTTTGGCCCAATCCTCCAATTTGTCTAGGTCCTTCTGTATCCTATCCCTCCCCTCCAGCGTATCTACCACTCCTCCCAGTTTAGTATCATCCGCAAATTTGCTGAGAGTGCAATCCACACCATCCTCCAGATCATTTATGAAGATATTGAACAAAACCGGCCCCAGGACCGACCCTTGGGGCACTCCACTTGATACCGGCTGCCAACTAGACATGGAGCCATTGATCACTACCCGTTGAGCCCGACAATCTAGCCAGCTTTCTACCCACCTTATAGTGCAGGATGATAGCTACCTTCCAGGATGATAGCTTTGAACTGGTCGTGCTGTGACTCTGGAAGCTAATCGATAAAGCTGTTAAGTTCCAAATAACTGACAGTCATATTTTGTCATTAAGGCTCGATAATTCGCTATTCAAAACTGTAGCATGGCCAAGGAATAGGCATTCCTCCCAAAGAGGTCCAAGCACTTCCAATCCCTATCACAGGGGTGGATTTCTTTTGGTACCGACAGCCCCAAGAGTTTACCACGTCGATGACTATGGAGTTGGGGGAGGGTGGGAGAAAAGAAATTCTGTCTCCATAGGCAGAACGTAATTTTTTTTTTATTGGCCCACTTACAGGAAGACATCACTGATGTCCACAGGGACACTACTCGAAGAACCAAAAAGGACATAGTGCATGTTAACTCCTTTTCTCAGCCACACTCCCAAAGAGGTAACCTAAGCCTTCATCCTGATGTCTCTCCGCACATAGCCCTTCTCTCTCTCTCTCTCTCTGTGCGTGCGGGCCTTCAGGGGTTGGAGAGTGGAACAAAATTTCCTCCAAGACAGTATTTCTCCCTGTATTCTCCTTTGAACTGAGAGGAGAAACAAAGACTTTCTCCAGAGCTTACAGGGGAAAAGAGTCAAGATCCATTATGGCAGACTCATCCATGTTCCATAAAGAGCTTAAGAAAAACACCTGATCCTCACAGATAGGTCTGGGAAGAGAGCTGAAAGAGATGTTTATCATCATCATCTCGGGTTCTAAATATTGTCCAAATTTGTAAGGTATGGTGGTATTCCCCCAGTGCTAACACCACCCTTTAGAATGAAAAAACTCAACACATAGGTTTGTGGTACTATAAGAACACAGTAGCTATACTAAAGTACTATGAATGATTACAATATACTTGCCTTTGAATTTCACAGGGTAATAAATGCAGGATCTACCATGAGTTTGCAAGAGCTCTTATCAGTTTCTGAAAGTAATTTAATTAAATTATTTAACTAATTACTCAACTAAAAATGCTGCAGGAAAAAATGAAGTCTCTTTAGATTTGATGTATCTTCTCAGCTTAATTAACACAAGCTTTTCCTGGTTTAATTTGCACTTAATAAGCAGGAACTTTACTCAATTTGCTAATTACTACATTTTCAAGCTGTTTTCTTGAAATAGATGCCAGCCTACCACACTAGGAACCCAAATTTCTGTAGTTACCTCGAATTACATAATTGTCCAAAGCTTCTTCCATTCTTTGCAATGCTTCAGCTCTATCAGAGCCATATGTAATTAGCTAAAAACAAAGGTATTTAAGTTAGCTCTAAAAATTCAGTTTTAATGTCTGAAATATAATAATTTTCTTTAAATAAACTTCACAGATTGTATGTTTAGATATTCCATTTACAGAAATCATTTTGCACATATTACTGTCCGTCTACTGGAGCACTTCCCCAAAACAAGAGAGGTGACTCTCAACTCTCTGGCATCTAGATACCGAAGATCAGGTTCTTTTCTTTATATGAGTTAAGCATGTCTATATCTGACTCTGTATTCTTCTTGGAGTGACACAAAAAAATTGATTAAAGGTCAGGAACTCTGACTGAATTTCCATATTTCTTTAGATTTTCTTTTCTTGGAAGTTTAATTCTTGGCTTTTTACAACACTAACTATAATGTCCTTGTAGCAATTTTACCCTTAAATAATTGAAAAGTACACTCAAACTTTAACTGCTATTTAACAACATTTTTTGTCAGGGACTACAGCCCTATAATTTCTCGGAAAAATCAAACAAAGTTAGATTGACATGGGATAAGTATGAGACTGCAGGCCATTGTTTAAAATACTTTTAGGAATCAGAAAACATAACAAGAACAATAAAAAACAAGTAAAAGAGTGAATTAATTTCTGAGAGATCTGAGAAATTTGTAAATTTTCTTCCATATTAAACTTCCTTTCCAATACAGCCTCTCCTCTCTCATGTTTCCTTTATGCATATCACATCCAGCAGCTTTGAAATATTGGTTCATTACTAAAAAATCTCTTCTTTTCAAAATTTTATATCTAAAACTAGTATTTTATATATTAGAACGTTAAAAAAAAACACTCACTTTTGAGATCATGGGATCATAATAAATGTTAATATCACTTCCTTCTTGTATGCCACTGTCAACACGTACCTTCAAAATATTAAAAAAAAAAAGCAAATGTAATTTCACAGTGGAACAAAAACCAAGTTTTGACCTCATAGAGGACATACATCTCAAACTTTTAACCTTGCCAAGTTTCATGAGAAGGTAAAATATTCTTTTTCACCAAGGGCTAGAAAATCCCCTCCCACTTCCACCTTGTGGGAAAAATACCTACGAATTACTGTCTCTCCTTTAAAAAAAAAAATGAATGCAGACTTGCACTGTTAGTCAAAATCACTTTTTTCTTGTAAAATCCAGAGCAAACAGATATGGATTTTGATCACTATCAATTTATAGTGGTTTATACAACTCTAAATCTGAACTCTCAATGCAACCAATGCTGACTTAATTACCGTAATAAAATACAATTATAATTATTCCTCCAACTGACACCTGGCATGAAAGATGCCCCTTGTAATCACATCCTTTCTGAGTATGTATGTAATCACATCCCTTGTGTCCCACTATAGCCCTTCTGAGGGCTCCAGTGGGGACACAACTAAGATTCATTCAGCAGGAACTTTGGAGCTCTGCTTATCAGCTCTATAGGAATACTAGTGTTGGTGCTTTCATGTCTGTAACACTTTCCTTTTCTGTCTCACCCTCTCGACTGTAAAACATTTTTTTTTCTGTTGCTGCTGTTCCCCTGGGTGTTTAATGTTTACACAGCTTTTTCCATGGCTTTGCTTTGTAAGGACACAGCCCCAATTAAAGCTCTGATTCCGCAATTTTCATAGGAAAAAAAATAGCACAAGTTCAAAAATTTCTTTTGAAGAAACTGATTGCTGTTAACCAGCCAACAAGTCAGTTAGTATATTGCTGATTCTTGTTTTCATCTCTCAGTTTGATTTCATCAGTGTGGCATTGAGGTTAGCCATATAAAACTTTTAAAATGAGCAATTTCTGGGAAATAAATATTTATTAAATTGTTGCTGTTGAACTTTGGAATCTAAAGTACTTTAGTGTTTTTTTAATCAAAGTAATTCAAGACTGACAAATGCATCCCAGGGATCTTAAGGACAGAGGAATCCAATTGAAGTTGCTGAAACACCAGGGCTTTGATATTTTACATTGTAAAGGGGGTGGCAAGTGGGACCTAGAAACTCACTTAAATTTCCACCTGTGGGAAGGTTCTTTCTAATAAACAGCAGCTCATCTGATTGCAGCAAGGCAAAAAAAGGTCAACACAACGGCTGTTAGGCCTTTAATATTTTAATTTAGGCAATTACCAAGGGACCATATGTAGAACCTCTTGTCTAAAGAATCCACATGAGAACAGGATGATGACTTTATTATCCAAATGACCTAAAAGATATCCCAGTAGCTTTATTCTCTTTCTTCAATGATAACTACATCCTAACATGGGTTTAATGATCATTTTCTTTTTAAAAACTTTTATTGAATATTTATTAATACACACGCAATATATTTGTATATGCAGTTCAACAGCACCTTCATTATAAGAAATCAAGACGCTTAATAAACAGTTAGTTAGTCCTGCATCAGAACTGTGAGGTAAATGGCATTATTATCCCCATTTTACAGATGATGAGGCATAGCAAGGTCACAAAGAAAACATGTAGCAGGAAATTCAGATTTCCTGATTCCCATTCTTATAACTATTAAGCCATCCTTCCTCTCTGTACAGGTACATACATACATGAATGAATACATTCACACACAAAGATAGGAAAGAACTATTAAGATATCTAGTCCATCCCACTGCCAGTCAAGTCTGTTCCCTATAGGCAGCATATTGCTTCTTGTACACAATACATACACATATATGTAGCATACCTGTGTACATATTCTAATAATACATTGCATTTATATAGCACTTTTAATTTCCAAAGCAACAAACAAATGTAAAGTAATTAATCCTTACAACACCCTTGTGAGGTATACAAATATTATTATCCCAATTTTACAACGAGAAAACATATAAAGAAGGGCCAAATTCAGACGTGAAATAAGCAGATGCAACTGTTCCTGAAGTAAATGGGAGTAGGCACTATTTATGACAGTGCTGATTTTGGCCAAAAGAAGCTCAGTGAGTTAGTAGGACTTCCAGCATGAAGTCCTACTAACTTATGCACCCAGAGTTCCACCCATACACAGTTCATTGCAATACTGGGGTCTAAGAGACAGACGGACCTACTCCACCCTCCCTAGGCTTCAAAGTCCAAGCTCCAGCCCCAACTTCAACGTGCTGTCTTCACAGCTATTTTGAGAGCTCTAGCATAAGCCCCATTAGCCCAACTCTGCTGACCTGAGCTGGGAGGCTCACTCCCACACACTATGTCAACATCAGCACCACTAAAGAATGGATTGTTGATCACATTTGCAAAGAATGGCTTTGGAGCTATTCAAATCTTAATGCCAACTGCAGCGCAGTCAGTTTGTTATAACGTGCAAGAGTAGTAAGTTTCTATTGTCACGCTCTTGAGGATACTTATTTCTTTGTAGTTACCTCATTTTAAGCTTTTTTAAAAAACTGAATACTCACTAGCCCTAAAAAAAAAAAAAAAAAAAAAAAAATCACACTCTGAACTAGCAGCTGGTACATTTTAAAATTATTATAATCTCAAACCCAGTATAGAATTCTTAGGAAATTCGTTTCCCCAATGCCCCGTCTTCCTAACTTTCCTAGTCCCCATTCTACTTCCCGTATCCACCCACCCATCCACATATCCCTACCTCCTTTAATTTGAAAAGCAATCAAACTAATTTAAAATCACATTTGTAAGATGCCACTTCTGAGACCTTCTATGCCAAATTTTAGCTCAGAGCAAATTTTTACAAACAATTTATTACCTTTTGAAAACAGAAATTTATAAAAGAAATGGTGAAGCACCAATAGCTTCAATATAATATTCAAATTCAGTCAAATCAATTTTATTCTTAATTATGTGACATCCTCAGAAGACAAATTAATCTCCAGTATTGCATATTTTCTGCTACTAAAGAAGAACAGACCAAAAATACGGTTTGCTAAATAAAAATAGAACAGCTATTTTTAATAAGATAAGAGTAAACAGAAAGAAAACAGCCCAGCTACTCTGTATGAGATCCTCAAACCATTTCTCTGAAGCCTCCAGCATAATTAAAATTTCTTTCTTCAGTACCACGGTGGGCCACGTGAAGCTATCAGCCATCTCCCACCCTTCATTTTCAATTCACCTCTCCCCCTAAGCACAACTCCCAGCCCGCCCTATCTACCTGACAAGTGACAGCCCAATCTGATTAAATGCTTGCAAGGGAGGGGACTTGTGGGCCTCCATGACAGGCCAAAAGTGATCACCATGGAGATACATAATTACAGCTGTCAACGCGTCTACTGTCCTGCTGGCATCAATTTGATTGCTCCCAGCAATAATGATAGACAAAGCTTGGTGTGCACTCTCCTGCACCCAATCACTTTATCTGTTCCGTGGTCCATTTAGCTGACATGCAACATTCACACAAGCAAATAACAGCAGTAAGCAGAACATTTAAGGCATTTTAATTGTTTTTTCTTTCTATGGATGGCTCACAAGCGCAAATGTTATTACATAAAACTCCTGCTGCAACATTAATTGAAGAAAGATTTGGTGGGACAAAGACTGTAGGGGGTATAGTTTGTCCATTATCACTTGTACTTTCAACAGGTCTCACGTCTGGAAAATTGCAAATTGCAAAAACTTGCAAGGGCAAAATGTTTGACATCCTGTTAGCTATTACAACATGGTAAAACTGTCTAACAACCACTAGAGTAATCATTATAAATTCTTATTAAATACACTCTTTGTTTCATTAAAAAAATATTTAGATACATCCCACGATACTTGTTTTCTTATCTTCTATTTAACGTCACATAATGCCTGTTAAATCTTTACAATTTTTTCTTCTGCTTTCAGGCTTTGAACACAGCATGAAGCCTTAAAGCCCAGAAAGGGTCAGGTCCCTTTAGAAAGCATATGGGCAAAAACAATTTAAGAAGTGAAATAAATCATATATTCAATAACATCTCCAAATTTAGGATTCCTCCTGTAATCTTTCACTATTTTCCATGCAAGTAATCACACTGAATAATCAGATTCACAGATGGTATAGTCTTGTCCTTCCACCAGCTGACATGGTGGATTTATTACTTATTACTTTGATTATACAAAAAGGAGATGTCCCTGTTCTTTTATTGCAGCAAAAAACGGTTTGTTAAGCAGCCACTCTGCATAGTTAGACTATGTACTGAAATGTTTAATGATCACTTTTCTTCAATTGTAACAAATGGCATTTGCTTTTTAAAGGCTGCGAATTTGAGTAGCAGTCCAGCTTCAATTTGGAGTGTTCAGTCCTTTGCAGTTAAAGAGTTAATTCAACATCTGATTATGCTATTTGCTCTACAGCATATTTATATTTGAGGCTTGTTTGAAAGGATTCAACTGACACATAAAATACAAAACAGAACAACTTCATAGCTTTATAGTCACATTTGGTTAGCACTGTATTTTTTTAATCTTATCTTAAAATTAGCACAAACAACAGTATTAACGCCCCACAACCACCTTTAATAAATGATAGAAACTAAGGGCCTGATTGTCAGAGGGACTAAGCACCTATGAAGATCTGAGGTTCTCAGCACCTATGAAAATCAGAGCCTAGGTCACTTACATTGGACACATGTAGTGGTTCTTGGTACTGAGACAATCTACCAATAGATGGCAGACCAAAAGATTTGTAGGGATCCTGAAAGGAAGGTAAAACATGAGAAAGCATTAATTTAGAGACATTACATACAGGAAACAAGGTTAAGTAGTTGCAAAATAAACAGCTTCTACCACTTCTATTTTGATTAACATTCTGTTTCCAGAATTACTCATTGTGGAGACATTTTCCCTTTCTCCACTGAAGAATTGGAACATTTATTAAAACCTCATCTTTCTGAAATGCAATTATTAAAGCAGAAAAGAGTATTTCTTCCTAGTGAAGTCTTTATAGTATCAACTCCTCAGCCATCTTCAAGCTTTGATATTTGGGGGTGTGGGAGAGTGATGACATAAAAGAAGTTTTTCAAAGGCAAAATGGGTAGTTAGGAGCTCAACTCCCTTTGACTTTCTATGTGAATTGGGTCCTCTGTGCCTTTAAAAATCTCCCACATAATACTACTTACAAACTTATCAGTACAGCAAATTCTGTGGTGAACAGAACAACACACACATGGTGAAACAGGATTCTGTTGTTCAAACTCCTTTAGTACTCATAGATGGTTGAGCAAAAATTCTGAATACCAACTACGTTAGTAAAGCCATACTAATACTCAATGCACACTTTGCATCATTCAAATCGCAAATACATCTATTCTTCATCCAAATAGTCATATACATCCTGTAACGAGCAGAACAAGCAACAAACTGCTGTTGTGTCATGAAAAAGAAAGAAAGAAGAACCAGAGAAATTAAGATGTCTTGGGCAATAAAAGCAGCAATAGTCAAATGGGAAAACACATACCAAGATGCAGATTTTTTTTTTGTAAAGACACTATTGCCTAAAGCATTAACATTCTTAAAACAAAATGAAGGCAGCTGAATATCATTCATTCAATGGACAAGTCTAAATTTCCAAATGTTAAAAACAATGCTAACAACATGTTAACTTACAATACCAGTCTTACTCATGCTTAAAAAGAGAATATTTTTAATTCAGATTTTTTTTTTTTTGCTATTACTATGAGGAGTCATAATGTAACTGTGCACTTATGGTTTTGAAATTCACTTTCCAAGTTGGTCATATAAAGCAAATGCAGTTACAGAGGAACAAACATCCTTCCTGAACTATTAGCAAATGCCTCAGTACCATTAAAAGTTTGGCAGCTTACAAAATTTTACTCAAATATTTAAGCCAAAAGGTTTAAGAAAAACGTGGAGGTGAGCAAACCTGAAGTACTAGTTAATAGTTCAGAAGAAAATGGAATACAGCCGAATCATCATACTAAATTAGGCTGAAAATATGCCGTAAACTTCCTTTGAAATGATTATTGGCTACTTGCAGGAGATATATTTTTAGAAGAACCTATGTGGCAATAATTTTAGTTTCAGGCTATTCTTTTGAATTACAACACAAAAATCCACATAAAACTTTCTTTAATCAGTTGTGTTACATACAGTAAATTACAAATCTCAAATTATAAACCTTGACTTCACCTTGGTGCCTATCTACACCTGGGTATTACTGCTCCACATACAGCCTCCCACCCCTTACCACTTATTTTACCTCAGCATAAACTCGACATTCAACTGCCCAGCCGTTGATGGGAATATCAGCTTGTTTGTGCCTGAGAGGGTAACCCTTAGCAACACGGATCATTTCTTGGACTAGGTCCAGGCCAGTAATGCATTCTGTGATGGGATGTTCAACCTGCAAGGTCAAGAACTGACAGTCAGTAGGTAACAAAAACAACCAAAAAAACCCATCATAAACAAATACAGATAAACAAAGATATCACCAGCCAAAAATGGGACAAGGGTTAATTTCCAACTCTGGACTTTCTTCACCAAACCAAACTAAAGAGACAAGCAAAAATAAAACAAAAAATCACAACAGTAACCATCTTCTTTTGTAAAAATCTAAACAAAATAAATAAGCAATTTGTAAATACAATAACTAATCACAAGGAGTAAAAGCAAAACTAGAAAAAAAATATGAAAGTATGTTTTATTTTTTTTTTTTTTACAACAATGGTATTTGGTGCAGATGTGTTAGTTTCTTGTTTGTTTGGAAGTATAAAGAAGGAGGACTCATTTTTAACCGAGCAATGTAATGTATTTTAACTGAAATCCTCAAAGTAGCTCATAATCAACCCATTCTGCTACACTTAACATGGCATGTACAGGAGCAGCTTACGATTTTCCATAGAGCTAGTCTACCCTAAATCTCACCCATTCGCCTGCTTTCACTAACCTGTCCTGACAAGCAACCAGATTAGCGTAATCTTACATCAGCGCAGTGTAGCAGAAATGAGCAGATGGATCCTTCAGTTTTTTTCCCTCCAGACTTATCTGTGTAGTGCTTAGCAGGCACAATAGCTGGGCTGGACCAGTCGAGTCACTCTGCTCTCTCAGCAAATTGCTGCTAACGGCTTTGGATGATGCTGTCATGGGAATACCCATCGTTCACACTAAAGCAGAGTCGGACTGGGTGCATGTGCAAATTTACATACACACGTGGTTTTTTATGTGGTTGTAAACTGAAAATGTTTATTAATTTACAGCAATCTCAAACGATTTTGGAGAAGTTGTGAAATGAAAGCACCCAAAGAAGATGGGTTATGGTCCTACTATGTAGACACAATCAGAGACACATACTATATTAGCATGTGATACACAATGAGAGCATTACAACTTCCCAAGTAAAAAATATGACAGAACTGCCATTTTTATTATAAAATGTTTTTGTTCTAAGGGTCAAATATCTTAAGAAAATGCACTTCACAATGATTTCTCTATCATGAGATGTCATATTATATACATTTTATGACACAGGAAAAGGTCAATGAACAAACCAGTTGTCTTCCTTACTTCAAGTACACTAATTGAAGGAAAACAGTTAGTCATTATAATAATCTTGTGCTTTATCAGAGCAAGAAGATGCACTGGTCTTTCAAAAAAAAAAATGGCTTTGTAAAAATAAACAGATGGCACCCATAATTAGCCCTGTGTGTGTTGTGAGTGTTTTTATAGTTTCAACAACATTTTAAGACATTTTGACATAATTTTAATGACAAATCATCACTGAAATAAGCACCTATTCTTTGAAGCATAAACATGGTATTGAAAATGGGGATCTGATTATGCAGTTTAAGAACATACCTTTGGGATTCAATCTTGATTTTACCTAACACATGATACTCTCCAGTATGTCACACTTAATAACCCTATTTGAAGTATCTGGGAAACAATTCAGCAGCCACCTTGCAGTGTTACACTTTGCAGCACTTAATTTTTTATTAAAATGAAGTTTTAATAGAAAGTTACTTTATATATCAATTATTTGGTCAAGAGAACTTGTTCTCACAGTTAGGATTTTAATTAAAAAATTACCTTTAACTTTAGAACACTTTCAGAATTTTAATACTGGGGGAAAAAATGTAACATTTCTCTAAAGAAGACATTATTTAGCCTCATCATTTTTCTTGGATTACACTTGGCATTCCAGGCACAATAGCGTCATTGTGGTTGTCAGCTTAATTGTTGATGATCAAAATAGGATGGAATGTTTCTGGAAAGAGAAATATTTTTGTTGTTTGTTTCTTAAGACTCACAAACATTTATTTAATCTGCTCTACAATAAGGCTCTTTGACTTAGTCAATATTATCTTGTTGCTTCAAAATACTCCCTTTGTATTTGAAGAAAATGGTATTAAAAATATGGCTAGCAAGCTTTTTTATATACATATTCCATTGAAACTAATCTAGACACTATTCTATTAATAATTTCTAGTCAGATATTTTGTAAACACACTCGCATGGTTAAATCTCCAAAATATAATCGATAAAATGAGGTGGAAACTGAGTTGTATATTTTAAGTTGAATTTTTTAATTAAATATCTCAGTGACATGAAGCAGTCAGCTAAGAAACCTTAGTCTTTGCAATTTGTTTTTTGAATATGTTCAGCAATATGCAGAGTATGAAGCCTATAGTCCAAAAGACTAAAACTGTTCTATCCTGTTCAAACTATGGCCCTGATCCTGCAATATACTCCACAAGGATGCAAGGATACACACACACACACACACAGAGAGCTCATGTACAGGATCTGAACCTAAGGGTCTAATCCCTTAGATCTTGCTGAGGGGCAAAGGCTGCAGAACTGACCCCCCTAAAGGAAACTAATATATTTTTCTTCCTCATATAATGGAAGGATTGTGATTATTTCACAAAATATTTTTTTTTGTACATGGTGATCTTGGATTTATTTCCTCTTCCCTCCCCTGTTTTTCTTTAAATACATTTCCCCATTTAAAGTCATCTTCCTTTTTTGGAGGTTATTCTATTTTACTCTACTCTTTTCAGAGATCTACTCTTGTTTTTCGTGCTTAGAATAGATTTATAATCTTTTTATATTAATTTTATTTTCCTCCTCCAACCTACATTTCCATACTAGCTATGCATGTGTCTATGAGCAAGTCTACTCTACAAAATTAAGTCAACTTACAGCCACCACAGTAATTAAATTGCTTTTGCATGTCCACACTACACTCCTTGTGTCGGTGGTGCGCGTACTAACCAGGGCGTTTGCACTGATTTAACTGTCAGTGTGAGGGCACTGTGGGACAGCTTCTAAAAGGCAGCAATAGTGATGTAAGCAACACAAGGTCTATACTGACACTGCATCGCCTAACTACATCGACGTAAGCGGTAAGCCTCTCTCAGAGGTGGAGTTACTAAGTCAGTGTAGTAGGCAAGTTACATCAGTGGAAGCTACCTTATGTCGACCTAACTTCGTAGGGTAGACGAGGCCTATGCTTCTGTCATAAATATAAAGGGAAGGGTAAACAGCTTTAATTTGTCTCCCTATGATGTTAGTTCTCCATTGCACCCACATAGTAACTGGCGTTTCCAGATTGGTGTTTCCCACAATACCCAACATTGACTACTCTGGTCACAATTGTGAAATCCTCTGCCCATTGTCAAAGAGACCAGAACCCCGACCCCTGCCTTTTAAAACCCTGTGAATTTTTTAAATGGCTTTTTCAGAGTGTCCATCTTGGTGAGCACAGCTAGCAGCTCTCCACTGTAGCGTGCAACTACCCAGCTGACCATGCCAGCTATGCACTCCAGACACACTCTGGCCTGGAGTACACAGGAGATATTGGATCTCCTGGACCTGGGGACAGAAGAGACTGTACAGGCACAGCAATGGAACAGCCATAGAAATGTGGACGTCTACAAGCTTGCATGGGGAATGCAGAAGGAGTACCATAGGGATCAGCAGCAGTGCTGCATGGAAACAAAGGAACCACGGCAGGCATATCACAAGACGAGGGAAGCCAACAGTCAATCCAGTGACGAGTTGCAGACCTGCCACACGTAATGGAGATCCCACCAACACGCTACCAACGATCCCAAGTCACAGGTCCCTGACAAGAGCAGTGAGGATGAGGTGGAGGTGGTGGTGGTGGTGGATGTGGGACATGTGACAGGTCGGGGTCCAGCTATGCTGCAAGCCAGAAGCTGTTTTGAAAGTCCACCACAGTCCAGTCAGAAGCATGATATCAGCTAAAAATCACCACCGCCAGTATCCAGTGCCATTGCCCTATACTCAGTTCCCTGCAACCTAGGAATTCCATCCTCATTTCCCTTACCCCTGGCAAGGCCATACTCAACATGGCTGGAGCTGTGAGTAGCACCCTGCATAAGTACTCCGAAGCAAGAGTGTCAATGAGGGAGCCAGGGGAGGGAGTTCTGAATCTTAACTTTCGCTTTCCATTGCGACTATACTGACAGTGGTAACTGTGTTTTATCTGTAGCTGCTACCGTTGTGGCCTTGAGGGGTTTGCCGTCCACACCAGTGAAATGCCTGACCCATATCAGAAGGAGGGGGGAAAAAAGGATTCTGGATGACATTTTCACCAAGATCCTGCAAGCCAATGTTGCATCAGACGGTGACCATAAGGCCTGGAGGATGAATATTGCAGACAGTAGCAAGGCCCAGGAGTTGGAGAGGGAGATGCATCAGGACATAATGGGTCTTTTCGAGCAGCAAACACAAATGCTGCAGACACATGTAGACCTACAAGCTCAACAATCCAGGCTCACCTCCCTTTGCGGTCCACGGAGAACTTCAGTATAGCCCCACCCTATAATCCACCCCGCAAGATTCCACATTGCATCGGGGGTCGCATCCCTACCCCTGCCACACCACCACTGGGGACATTCAGGACAACCGCAGCTTCACATACACTGACCTGTGAGAACCAAGGTTGATGTATGCGTAGCTAAAATGGAAATGAATGTTTCTTCTGTTCCATAAATTTATTAAAGTTTTAATATATTTTAAGTTGCACAGAGTATTTTTAAGAGTTTTCATTACTCAATAAAATAGTATTGTTTGGAAAATAATTAATCTTTATTAGTTGCTAACATATGCTGCAGAGTGCCTGACAGTAGTGAAAACACCCACTTACTTGTTACTGTATTCTGTGACACAACTCATAGGATTAGTGACACACACAGTATAATAAGCATAAATCTACAGCAAGACCACAAGGTGCATTGTCAGTGATATATGCAGAGATATGCACCAAGCACCACACAATTCCCAACAGGACCCCAAAGAGCAGAATCAGGGAGAGCACGGGACACCACAACGCATTACTCTGGCTCACTGTTAGAGTGTTCTTTCAAAGCCTTCCTG